CTCCTCCTCCTCCTCCTCCTCCTCCTCCTCCTCCTCCTCCTCCTCCTCCTCCTCCTCCTCCTCCTCCTCCCCCCCGCGCGCCGTGCCCCAGAGAATAGGTGCAGAAAGGCGAGGGTGCGGTACTTAGGGGCCCTCTGCACACGCTCGGCACATAGCCCGTCATACCAGAGAGGCTGAAATGTGTGCTCGTCTTCGGCGAGTGGCTCTGCCTACTGGTGGACCCGTCCAGGAGGCTATCGGAAATGTGCGACAAAATGGACCCGTCACGATCGTGGTCATACCTTGTGATGTGGCATGCGACCTCATTCTTGGCGGCTTAACCCGAGAGGGCAGCACTCTGCGCTGGGAGGGGTTATTGAAAAGCGGGCGGGCCCTTGACCTCATCGGGGGCCCACCCTGTGAGACGTGGTCTGCAATGCGCTGGCAGCCCCTGTCTGAGGGCACCCTGCGCACGCCCCCACCCTCCGGACACACAAGCACAGATGGGCAGACCGAATGCGACGGAGCGGCAGCACGAGCAGCCACGTATCGGGAGCTGCCCATAGGCTCCTCCATGTATGGCAGTTGGGGCCTGCGGCGTCCTTGAGCACCCCGCTGGGAACCCTGTGCTCCCTCCAGCTGGAGAGCCCAAACATCGTGCGCTCCATCGGTGTCCCCAGTCAGCCAGTTGGTGTCGGTTGACCAGTGCGTATTTGGTCAAATCAGTGTTGCACCCACATCCCTGCTGTGTGTACGCCTTCCTACGCTGGCCGCCAAAGTGCAGGAGCGCGGCCGCAATGGCCATTGTGATCACCAAGGGTCTGGATCCGGAAACGGGCACCTGGAGGACCAACCCCAGAAAACGATATCCCTGGGACATGTGCCGGGCTATGGCGAAGGCTATACTGGACCACCTCAAGCACGCCCTCCAGGACTGTGACGACCCGGTGCTCGACGATAGAGAGCTGCCTGCGGGGTTAGAAACGCTATTTCAGGCCCTCGACCCCTATGCTGCAACACCCGAGACTCTGCATATTGCGCGTGATTTTATAGCTTGCCGGTTGTATCAGGAGGAAGTCGATCGAAGGATTGCAAAAAAACCCTTCGAGGATTGCAAAAAAACCCTTCGAGGGTTTTTTTGCAATCCTTCGAAGGGTTTTTTGCAATCCTTCGATAAATTGCAAAAGAAACCCTTCGAGGGTTTGTTTGCAATTTATCGAAGGGTTTTTTGCAATCCTTCGAGGAAGTCTATCGCGACTGTCGGTTTGACAGGCCCCAGCGTTCTGCCCCTGTGGCCCCGCCTCCTGCCTGCCCCGAGCCGCGTGGCGAGCACTCGGAGGGGGCCACCTTACAGGAGACGGAGGCGGCAGCGGCCTCCACGGGGGTTGGAACTGGGCACTTCTGCCTCTGCTCCCTCGCCTCCTCCTCCTCCTCCTCCTCCTCCTCCATCTCGCCCTGCCCTCACCCCTCCTCCTCCTCCTCCTCCTCCTCCTCCTCCTCCTCCTCCTCCTCCTCCTCCTCCTCCTCCTCCTCCTCCCTCTATTGCCTTCGGGAGTGAACTCTTTGCCTTCACCATTCTACAGGTAGGCTGACGGTGCGCCTTATCCTCAGTTCGATTAGTTCCTCCTCCTCCTCCTCCTCCTCCTCCTCCTCCTCCTCCTCCTCCGTCTTCCTCCTCCTGCGTCTTCCCCTCGCCCTCATCCGCCCCCCCTCGCAGCCCGCCTTCGCCCCCCCCCCTCCATCCCCCAGCCTTCTCGTCTGGCTCCCCTCTCCTCGCTTCTCTCCTGCGGCCAATCAGCGGGAACAGCTTGTGCTACATAAGATGCTGTGGCTTGCTTGCGTGTGATCTCGAGGCCTCCGGCTTGGGGGGCCGGGCGCCACGACGACATCCCGGCATGCAAGCCCCGACAGTGGTTGGAAGACGATGCCTCAAACTGCTCATCGTAAGTGGTCTGAAATGTTATCACCGCCCTGGGAACTCCCATATCCATTCCAATCCACTATATTCCTCAATCTTCCCGTGGCCCTCCTCTGCTTCTCCTCGTAGCCCATCCTCCATCTCCGCCCTCCTTCCTCCACCATCCCGAATTACAACTGCCTCTCCTCTTCTTTTTCCACCTCCTCCAGCTCGTCCTCCCCCTCGTTATCCTGCGACACTTTTTGATCCTCCTCATCCTCTAGGCCTCCTCCTCCTCCTCCTCCTCCTCCTCCTCCTCCTCCTCCTCCCCTTCTTCCTCCTCCTCCTCCTCCTCCTCCTCCTTCCCCTCCTCCTCCTCCTCCTCCCCCCTTCCTCCCAGTTATCCCCTCTCCTCCCCTCCTCCTCCTCCTCCTCCTCCTCCTCCTCCTCCTCCTCCTCCTCCTATCCTCCTCCTCCTCCTCCTCCTCCTCCCCCCTTCCTCCCAGTTCTTCCCCTCTCTTCCTCTTCCTCCTCCTCCTCCTCCTGCTCCTCCTCCTCCTTTTCCTCCTACTCCTCCTCCTTCTCCTCCTCCTCCTCCTCCTCCTCCTCTTCCTCCTCCTCAACCTCAACCTCTTCTCCTCCTCCCCCTCCCTCAGCACACTCACACAATATCAATGCATGTCTCTTCTATCCCCCGAATACGGGCTGAGAGTATTCGCCCTCCCTCCCCCTCCGCATCTTTTCCTCACACACACATGATGTGGGCGAGTCGGCCGTTCTTCGGTGTTCCAATCCGCTCGTCTTCGGTTCCTCAAAACTGTGCTCCCGCTGCAGCGCTGGCCTCATTTCAATGCCTCTGGTCCGTCAAAGTCATGCTCCCGCTACAACGCTGGTATCGTTTCCGTGCTTCGGACCTTCCGAAGGGTGTTCCCGCTGAGGCGCTGGTCTCAATTCCGCTTACTTGGGTTCTTCCGAATGGTGTTCCCGCTTCAGCACCAGTCTCATCTCCAAATTGTCCCCCCGCCGCATGGTTTCTGGATGCACTGTTCTTGCAACCTTGGTGTGCAATTCAAGTCTATGTCATGTACTGCTGTAGCGCGATTACACGCCTTGCTCTGCAATGCTGTGGTATGCAACGCTGGGCTAGGCAATGCCATGCCCTGCCATGGCATGTCATGCGATGCTATGTCAGACCACCGCTAAGCGATGACATGTCTTGCGCTGCAATGCTGTAATATGCAATGCTTGACTGCGCCAAGCTGTGCCATGCTAGGAATCGCGCAGCCTCTGGGGATCGCTGCCCTCTTCAACATCCAACTGTGCCGATAGAGCGGGGGTGGCTCTACGTATTGGTAAAGGAAGCGAGGAGGGGAGAGCATGACATCATAAATGGCGCAAGCGCACCAATAGTCTCTCTCCTATATCCTCCCTCCTCCCTCAACTCCCTCTCATCCCCCCCTCCCTCTCTCCTCGCCGTCGCCCTCCATTTATTCCGCCTCCTCTTCGTTACCCTCCTTCATCTCCTCACCCTCCTCCGCTGGACACTGGGGGCGTGCTTCAGGCACGTGGATACGGCGGCACGATGCGGCCTTGCGCGCCGTAGGAAGCAAAATTGCGAACGCCGAAGTAGAGCTGCTTCTGGGTCCCATCCAGCAGGGGCAAAGTAACTGCTGGCCCCAAGAAGCGCGTTGAGGAGCAGAGGAAGCAGAGGAGGCGGAAGGATGAATGAACCTGCGCCGATCAGTAGCAACTTCACCCCCGCGGGGGGGACAAGGCTGGACCATCGGGCACTGCTGGTTGGCCCCCTCACAGGAGGGAGACAACGCGAACCCGAGAGATAACGTCTATGCAGGTTCTGCGTCTACGATTCCTGCCGGCCTTCGGCTCTTCCCCGCCTCGCCCCCGGCCGACCTCTCCTCAAAAAACACACCAGCTCCCGGACCCCTGCCCCCCCAGACCTCCCCCAAGGGTCCATCCTGGCCCGTGGGCGACGACGACGACGGCGACGACGACGACGACGACGACGACGGCGACGACGACGACGACGACGACGACGACGACGACGACCGTCGTCCGACTGGCCGCGGCAACGGAGGGCCGCCCCACGGGCGACGGACGCAGCGAGGAGGACGAGGACGCGGGAGGGGGAGGCTCCCACGGGGACGGGCGCCGCGGCCAGGCGCGACCGGCGCTGCAGATGGGCGCCCCTCGGCCGCAGGCGGGAGGAGGAGGGGAGGCGGGACGCTGCAGCCAACCCACACCGTGAGGACGCACGATGAGGAGGAGGTGGAGGAGGAGGAGGAGGAGGAGGAGGATGGGGAGGGAGGAGGAAGCAGGAAGGAGGAAGGAGAAAGAAGGAGGAGGAGGACGAGAGGAGGAGGAGGAGGAGGAGGAGGAGGCTGGGGAGGGAGGAGGAAGCAGGAAGGAGGAGGAAGAAGGAGGAGGAGGAGGAGAAGGACGAGGAGGAGGAGGAGGAGGAGGGAGGAGGAAGGAGGAAGGAGGAAGGAGGAGGGAGGAGCGCAGCCCTCCTCCTCTTCCTCCTCCTCCTCCTCTCCTCGTCCTCCTCCAACTCCTCCTCCTCCTCCTCCTTCTTCCTCCTTCATTCTTCCTGCTTCCTCCTCCCTCCCCATCCTCCTCCTCCTCCTCCTCTTCTTCCTCCTCCTCCTGCAACAGAGGAACAGGAAACCACACGAGCGTAAACTTTTGGAGGTCCGCGCGGATATCTCGGATCTGCGCCGGACCCCCCAGGGACGGCGCGCGTGCGCGGAGCGCCCAAAGTTTATGCTTATGGCGTTTTGTTCTTTTTCGATGCGAGGGCCTCGGCTGGGGCGCACAGGAAAATACTAGTACCAGGCGTCCTCCGTGGAGGCGCGCGTCCGACCCGAACATACAAGGCATACCCATCTCGTAGTAGATCATTTTCCGAACGGTATAGCCAGAAAGCGCCCGCCGCGACGCAGATACTGCAAGATTTCTCGGTGCGCGCGTCGCCCCTGGGAGGGGGCGACGCACACATAGCATTAGCATGCTGGGGTGACGCCGATTGCAGGGCCATGTCGACACTTTGCGGGCGGGGCGCGGCTAGCGAAAGCGGCCAAGGAATGGCTGAAGGGGCAGGATGCGAGGGTAACCTTGGAGAGTCGCTCATCCTTCCCATGCGGGTTGGCTGCAGGTTGCATCGTCGGGGGACCTTGTCTCTGTCCAGTCGCGGCCGTATCCTCGTGCCCGTATCCGCGTCAGACTCGTCGAATCCGCGTCGAATCCACGTCGGGCTCGCCGAACCCGCGTCGAAGCCACGCCAAATCGGAGTCGAGTCCGCATCCAGCCCGCGGCGGCCACAAGAGAAGACACCAGCTCTGGGACCCGAGGAGGCCCCCCGAAGATGCACCGCAAGGGACGCGCGGAAGTGCCCCCCGAGGAGCGCTGGCCCGGCGGCCGCCCTGAAGGATGGGAGGATCGAAGCAGAAAGAGCCGCCCTGCCCGGCGCGCTCAGTGCGAGAGCGCGCGAGGGCGGCGGTAGGCGGGCGACTCGCACTCGCCGTCGTCGTCGCCGCCACCGCCGCTGCCCGTGGCCGCCTCGGCCGCCCCCTCTGCCGCGGGGACGAGGCCGCAGTGCTCTGGCGCGGGCGCCTCCTCGAACTGGGGAGTGACGCCGGCGCCCTGCGTGGTCATCGCCCCGCCGGCCCCTGCCGCGGCGAGGAAGCCGTGGTGCGCCGGCGCGGGCGCCTCCTCGAAGTGCGGAGTGGCGCAGGCGCCCTCGAGGGGCAGCGCCTCGCCAGCGGCGCTCACGGGCACCATGACCTCGTAGGTCACCTCGGGCCCGGGCGCTGGCATCGGCACCGCCACGGGCACCATGGCCATCTGGGGCATCTGCGGCGGCAGCGGCATGTAGAAAAGCATCTGGGTGGGCTCGCCGCTGTCGCTGGAGGACGGGATGTAGGCGGGGACGACCAGCGTCTCGCCGAAGCACACCTGGGTGCCCCATGGCTGTCCCATCACCGCGCCGCTGGGGTCGCAGTCGCCGGGGCTCCCTCCCTGTAGCTGCCACGCGTGGCTCTGGGCCTCGTGTGGCGCCGCCATGGCCAGGTCCGCCTCCGAGATCGAGCCGAAGACCACGGCGTCGAGGCCGTCCTCGTCCTGCACGGGGATCGGCTTGTCGGAGCCGACCGCGGAGCCCGCCTCGTCGCTGTCCGTCGCAGGGGACTGCGTTGCCTGAGTGGTGGGCGTGGCAGCCCCGCCCGGCCCGCACACCTGCAGGCTCCAGTCCTGCAGCACCACGTCCTGCGGGCCGTCGCAGAGCCCGCACATCATCTCGTCTGGCTGCAGCGCGTCCAGCAGCACGTCGCACTCCATCGTCTGCATGCTGGCCTGCAGCGAGTTGAGCAGCTTGAAGGGCGGGGTCAGGAAATCCTGCTGCAGGTGTGCGCAGACCTTCTCCTCACCGAGGGGCGCCTTGTAGTTGTACTCGCTCTTCGCGCTGGATCGCAGGCGCTGCTGCGATCTGTTGTGCCAGAAGGCACAGAGCTTGCCCCGCGGGCAGCTGGTGCTCTGAGAGTCCTGGCGTGGCAAAGCTTCGGGCTGCTGAGCAATCCCACCCAGCCAGCAGGGCCCCCCGAGTTGCCCGGGGAGATCCCACCACCCGAGCCCTGGGGCGCAGAGCGCCGCCAGAGGCGCCGCCAGAGGTGGCGCCAGGGTGTTGAGACGGCCCTGGACTACTCGGCAGGCCCTACTGAGGCCAGCTGGGCCTACTCGGGGGGCCTGTTGGGGCCAGCCGGGGCTGTCTAGGAGGGGCCTGTCCGTGCGCAGCCCGAAGACTCACCAGTCCTCCTCGTCCTACTGCTCCTCTTTTTCCTCCTCCTCCTCCTCCTCCTCCTCCTCCTCCTCCTCGTTCTCAGCGTGTCTCCTCCTCTCCTCCTCCTCCTCCTCCTGCTGTCCCCCGCTCCTCCTCGCCCTCCTTCCTCCTCCTCCTCCTCCTCCTCCTCCTCCTCCTCATTCTCCTCCTCCTCCTCCTCTCCTCCTCCTCCTCCTCCTCCTCCTCTTCCTCTTCCCGCTCCTCCTCCTTACCATCCTGGCACGTCACGGTCTTGAAGGAGTCCGGGTGGTACAGCTGCTCCTTCGCGCCGTGCGAGAAGGGACAACGCACGCCCAGCGGGCACCGCCGCGAGTACTCCAGGGAGGCCTCCTGCCGCTTCCAGTGGGGGCACGGCCGCGGGCCGTAGCCGATGGCCGGGTGCCGCCGTGCATCCTTGTTGGGCAAGTCTTCTGTTCATGTCCACTGCAACTTTGACCCTCTGGGAATGGGACGCCCGTTGGCCGAGGCGCCGTGAATATGGATAAACATCTGGCCCCAAGGGACCAGACGTGTACAGGCATCGACCTGACCTAAGGAACGATAAATAAGGAACGAAGCCCCTTTTTTCCAAAGGAAAAACGCACAAGGAACGATAAATCACAAATAGTGCATAAGGAACTGTAAATAACGCATGCGAGCCTAAGGAACGACCGAGCCCCTTTTCAAAAGTAAGTGTTCCTTATTCAAGCCGCTCACTGTATCCATGTTCACTGCGCCCTGCCTCGGCCTGCGGGCGCACCATTCCCAGGAGGTCCCAGCTGCAGTGGACGTGGGCATAAAGCTCGCCCGCCTCTTGGACGGAGGGGCGGCGGAAACCTGCGGCAGGTGTTGGCGGGTGCCGAGAGCCCTCTCTCTGGAGCCCTCGGGAGCCATGTTGTGTGACCCCCTCGCTGGAGCCCCCGAGAGGAGCCCTCGAGAGGAGCCCCTGAAGGGGTCTGGTGCGACCACCGTGCTGTGACCAAGCGGGGCCGTGTGCTCTGAGACCCGGTATAGCCATGCCCGCCGCTCCAATGCAGAGCCCTTGTGGCGCGAACCAGATACGCGTCTTTCATGTCTAATCGTGCTCATGTCTAAGTGTGCTCGTTTCTAACTGTTCCTGGCCCCCTAGTGGCCAGGAAGAGGCCCAGAATAGGACAATTAGGAATGAAAGGATCTTGGCCCCCCACAAAATCAAAGAACCTTCGAAGAATTAGAAAATGAACAATGTGCAGACGGCGCCAGATGCTGGAGGGCGGCGCGGATTTCGCGCCGGAGCAGCGGCCCCCAGGGCGCTTCGAGCGCCAGGGAGGGGGGGTGTCCAGCGCCGCCCAGCGACGTGTCCCAACGACGTATCAAAGGTCATGATTGTGGTCCCGTCTTCGCCGGGGGTCCTGATAGTTGTGGGCGTACACGCACGTCTGCCAGTCGTGCTGCACGCCGATGGGGCACCAGTGCGTCTTGAAGCGGAGCATGAAGAAGTCGTTGGAGAGGGCGGCGGGGCGCTGGTCCTCCTCCTCGGGCGCAAGCAGCGGGAGCCTGATCTCCTCGCGGCTGTCGAGAGAGGAAACATCAGCACGAGCATGAGCTTTCGGAGGTCCGCGCGGATCTACTGGAGCCGCGCTGGACCCCCCCCCACTATCGCTGGCGCGCGGAGCCTGGGCGCTGCCGAGCTGGGGGCGACACACGGGAGGGAGGGGGGCGAAGAGATTTGCATCTTTCGTGCTCCTTTTGGACCCCAGGGGGCCTCCTCAGGCCCCGTGCACAAAAGGTACACCTGTCTCCCCCGCCCTACCCTATTAATCGCCCCCCCCCCCCCATGACGCAACGCCCGAGGAGCACTTCAGGGGTGGCGCCAGAGGCGCAGGCCAGGGTTGGGCGGGGGGGCAGTGCAGATCCCAGAAGCCCGCGCGCACCTCGGAAGGCTCCTGGCCGCACCGACTTTTCCCCTCCAGGCTGTGGGCGAAGACGCAGGTGTCCCCGCGGCGGCAGCTGCCCACGTGCGGGTAGGAGGCGCAGAAGCGGTGCTTGTACACCTCCACGGCCTGGGGGCAGTAGCTCGCGCCTGCCGCCCCGTGCCCGCCGCCCTCCTCCAGCTGCTGCGGGCCGGCCGCCGCCACGATGGCGGGGTCGTACATCGACATGTCCGCGGACCACTGGACGGCCTCCACGCCGCAGGCGCCGCCGCCGAAGGCGCTCCAGAAGGAGTAGCGCTCGTGCGCCGTGGTGCGGAGCTCGCCCTCGCCGTGGGCGAAGCAGCAGGCGTCCTCGAGAAGAATGAGAATCGACATTCGGGTCGAGCGAAAGGGGGGGATAGCAAAGGGGGGGTTTTGAGAATCAGCTCACGTAGCTGATTTTCCCGGCGCCTCCCGGCGCCGGGAGGCGGCTATGTATCGAGGAATGGGCCCCTCGGTGAGGCCGAAACCAGCTGCGTGCAGCAAATTTCGTACCCCCCCCCTTTCCCAATCCCCCCCTTTCGCCAGGCCCGAAACATTCACCGAAACTTTTCAAGGGTCCGCGCCGATTCAATCTCGGCTTCCCTCAAAATCGGCCTCCAGGGCCCAGCCGGTCCCGGGACCGTCACGTACGTCCTAAGGAAATTGAGGGAGAAGGCAGAGGAACGTCGTAGTTAAATCGATTCCCTTCACTTTATCCCTTCCCTGCTGGGGGTGGGGCGTCCTGGGGGGATGGGGGGTGGGGTCACAGGTCGGACCCCCAGGTCCTGGCCGGCGTGCTTCGGGGGGGGGGTCGCGCCCCGCCTTCAGGGTCGGAGGCAAAGGCCGCAATGCCTCCGCGAGGAACTTTCAGAGATCCGCGCGGAGTGCTGACAATTGACGCTTATGCTGTTTATGATTATTCATCTTCTCTTTTTCTTCGAGTCCTCGCCGAGGCAGTCTGGGTCGCCACAGAGCTCGGTCTTGTACCTGGCGGCGTGGTAGGTGACCTCCTCTTGCGTGTGGGCGAACGGGCACAGGTCGCCGCAGGGGCACTCCTGCCCCGCGGCGGCGTAGTCGCAGAAGACGTCCCAGTACTTCAGCTGCCCCGTGGCGGCGTCTACGAGGGGGCGCCTCCGCTGGGACCCGAAGTGGTAGCCGAAACACTGGTGGGGCGCGTTGCCCGAGCCGACCCCGTGCAGGGGGCAGTGCCCGCTCGCGAACTGCGGGCACATCATGGTGCCGAAGTGGAAGACGTACTGCCGGTGGTCGGACAGCTCCCCCGACTCCTGCCAGACCGGCAGCGCGTCTACCGCCGGACCGGTCGGGTACTGGGCCTCGACCTCCTCTGGCACGTCGGGGGAGAACGGCACCAGCATCGTGCGCGGAAGCGCCCGCGCTCTCAACGAGACCCCTGTGGCCCGTAGCTCGATTCCCCCCTCGGTCCCAAACGGCTTGAGCCAAAATGGCTGATCGCGGGCGGGGAGGTGGAGTAGGAGAAGGAGCAGAAGCATGAAGTCGGGCGTGTCCCCCCTACAGGGGGATTGTCGACGAAAAAGTAAACATACTCAAGAACAACTGGAAAATAACACAAATATTTAAAACAAGTCCCCAGACTATTTTTCTACTATTTCTGAATATTCCCCCTGAAGAGGGACATGCCCGACTTAAGAGAAGGAGCAGACGCACGATGGCGAGGTGGAGACTTCGGGGAGGACGAGGGCCGGCGGGACATAATCAAGGAGCACGCGGGACCACCAACTCCTACCAATATTCGAAGGCAGGGGGCAGAAGCCAGAGAGGAGGGAGGAGGGAGGAGGGAGGAGGGAGGAGGGAGGAGGGGAGGACAAGAGCACCGAGACGGCGCGGACGAGACGAGCGCGCGAGGCAGAGGCGGCGGGAGGGCGGGCCGGCGCGGCCACCCGGAGCAGCACAAGAGAAACACCGCCGCAGGGGCGGAGGCGGGGAGGGAGCGCGAGGGGCCGCCCCCGGAGGCCCCCTGCAGCTCTCGAGGTCCTGGCGCTCCGCGCTTGCGCCGAGGCGCCCGCCGCCTCCGCGCTCGGGCCCCGAACTGGCCATCGCTCGGACGTCCATTCCCTGTGCTTTTCTCGGTTTCGCGCGTGGTCTTTTCGCCAAATGATCAAGGATGCTCCTCGATGGTCCTCGCCGAAGGAAAGATGCACACGTCCGCGCGATGCCAAGTAAAACGGCGTGCGCGCCGGCCTGCCGCGTATACACGCAGCCGGGGGAGAGGGCGCCCCGCCGGAGCGAGGGCCCCCCTGCAGGGAGGCGCCCAGGGCGAGGGCCTCCCGCAAGCTCTGCTCCCGCCTCTGGAGGCCTCTGGGCTCTGGAGGCCCCCCGTGCCCCCCCCCCCCATCCCCCCCAGAGGCCCTCTGGATCTCGAGGCCTCCAGGGCGGAGGGGAGGACCCCCCCCCCAGAGGCCCTCTGGGCTCTGTATCTCGAGGCCTCCAGGGCGGAGGGGAGGACCCCCCCCCCCCAGAGGCCCTCTGGGCTCTGGATCTCGAGGCCTCCAGGGCGGAGGGGAGGAGAGCGGGGACCACGACCGAGACTTCTGGGTTGGGCGTGTGCCCCTGCAGGCGGATCCTGGACGAGACAGGAAGACTGCCCCGGCGAGACCCAAACAGATTCAAAGATAGGCAAGAAAGCATCTTCGGACTATGTTTTCACTGTTTGTGAATACTCCTCATGTCGAGGGACAGGCCCGACTAAAGCCAAGACTGAACGCGGGAACGTCGCTTCGATCTCGGTCACCGCCGCCCTTGGTCAGCGTCATTTCGTGGACCGCCATCGCGAATCGGCGACGGCCCACATTCAGGGGCGCGCAAACATGGATTAGAGATCCGTGGCTCTGGCGCGCGGTCGCCAAATCCATGGATCGGGGGAGGTGACCTCCCCCAAATGCGGCCCGCACCGCCTCGCTCGGCGGCGGAATTCCGCGATTCCCCATGGAAACGCGACCCGTCGCTGATCCACGCCCCCTTCCCAGACATCCGACGTCTCGATTTTTTCGAGACGCGGGCCCCCGACCTCCCGACCACTTCCCTGGGACCGGTTTTTCATCCCGAGTCGTTTTTTGACGGCCCCGAGGCCCGGCGAGGGCCCCGAGAGGCCAAACACTATGACAAACCTCTGTCTCGATTTTTTCGAGACGCCCGATGTCTGGGTTGATCCATGTTGGCGGTCGCCTGACGCATGGACCACGACCAAGATCGGCATGAGCCTGTTTTTTTTTAGACTCTGGCAAGTTTACTTGCATGGGCGGGGGGGGGGCTGAGCCTGAAGCAAGGCCCGGGGGGGGGGCGCGGAAATCGACGCTTCGAGGCACTTGCACACTAGTATTCGTTTGGATTTAGAGGGGGGGGGGGGGGGGGGGGGCGAACGCCATGCAAGTAAACTTGCCTGAATCCAAAAAAACAGGCTCCATCGGCAAGATCTCGCGGCCTCCCGGTCATGGCGCCCGTGCCTCTTCCCTCGACCGGAGGCCTCCAGGGAGGCCCGGCGGGGGCCAGGCACGCTCGAGAGGCGCTCCCCTCGTAGCCTCCTCCCCCTCCCTCCTCCTCCTCCTCCTCCTCCTCCTCCTCCTCCTCCTTCCTCCTCCTCTCCGCCTCCTCCTCCTCCTCCTCCTCCTCCTCCTCCTCCTCCTCCTCCTCCTCCTCTCCTTCTTCCTCCTCCTCATCCTCCACCTCCATTCCCCCCTCCAACTTGTGGTAGTGGTGGTGGAAAACAGGCCCATCATCGGGGGGCAAGGCTTTGGCCTTGCCTCCAGCGAGGAGAGCGGGAGAGAGGAAGCCCGAGTCTTGCCTCTTCGTGCTTCCACCAAGACACGTCTTAGGCGGGAGCGCCACTGCGCATTCGAGCTGAAGAAGTGCCGACATCTATTTTCAAGAAGTCCAGGAGGAGGAGGAGGAGGAGGAGGAGGAGGAGGAGGGCGGGGACGCCATGTCGAAATCGAACCAAAGGGTGCCGAATTCCAAGCTTCGGGAAGTCCCTGGCGGGATTGCCATTTTCCGAAATCGACTCCAGAAGACTTCGAATTCGGTTTCGGGGGGAAGCCCTGGGCGGAAGCACCAATCGGAAATCGAGCCAGAAGAAAGGTTTCGAATTCTAGTTTGGAGGAAGTCTTCTGGGCGGGAGCGTCAATTCGAAATCGAACCCGAAAGTTTCGAAATTGTTCGAAATTGCTTCTTGGGGAAGTCTCAAGCAAAATGGCTACACCGTCTGGCATTTACAAATTTAGCTTTTTGACCAGGTATTTCGAAAGCGTGGCTTTCGCTTGAGATTTCCTCCAACAGAAACAATTTCGAACGACTTCGAAACTTTCGGGTTCGATTTCGAAAGAGCGTTCCCGCCCAAGACTTCCTTCAAACAACGATTCCGACTGGATTTCGAGGCGGCCCCGCCCGAGACCGGAGCAAAGCAGTGCTTGACCAGAACAGCGTATGCTGCAGCCCCGCGGCCTATCGGGCCACTTTGACGCCTCCTCTTCTGGTCGTGGGCGCAGCGCCACCGACACCGTCGTGCCGGGGCCCCGTCGCCTTACGGGAGGCGTTGGGTCGGGCATGTCCCCCTACACGCGGGCTTTGGGCGAATAAAAATGAAAAATAGTGAAAACACACGCCAACAGACATAAAGGCAGTTCGTCAAACCAACGTCCCTGGACTATTTTTGTTGAACACACCGCCTGCAGAGGGGCAGGCCCGAACTCAGGGCAGCGCTCCACTTTGGCCGAACCTTCGCAGCGGAGAAGCACTTCGCTGGAGCTCCTCGGGGCGCCATAAAACAGGGCTAGGATCGGGATAAATCGCTCCAGAGCGTTCCGGAGCGCTCTCAGAGCGTTCCGGAACGCTCTGGAGCGGCCGCGGCGCCCAATACATCCTCCAAACCCGCCGATTCTCAGAGATTTCCAGTTATCCCGATCCGACTTTGTCCCGATCTTCGTGTCGTCTTACGCCAAGGCGCAGGCCCGAGCCTGCTCGGCCCGTCGCCCCCTCGGGCGCCGAGGCGCCGCCCCGCTGCCAAGCCCTCGGCGCCGGCCTGCGCGGCAGGCGAGCCCCGAGAGGTCGGCGGCGAGCGCCGGGGGGTTCCCGCGGCGCCCCCGCTCGCCCCTCCTGCGAGCGAGGAGGAGGAGGAGGGGGAGGAGGAGGAGGAGGAGGAGGAGGAGGAGGAGCGGAGGTCTCCTGACTCCTAGTCCCTCATGCTCCTCCCCCTCCTCTCCTGCCTCCTCCTCCTCCTCCTTCCCCTGCTCCCCCTCCTCCTCCTCCTCCCTCCCTCCCCCTCCTCCTCCCCCCTCCTTCCTCCCCTCCTCCTTCCTCCTCTCCTCCTCCTCCTCCCTCCCTCCTCCTCCTCCTCCCTCCTCCTCCTCCTCCTCCTCCTCCTCCTCCCCCCACTCCTCCTCCGTCCTCCTCCTCATCCTCCTCCTTCCTCTCTCTTCCTTCCTCCTCCTCCTCCTCCTCCTCTCCTCCTCCTCCTCCTCCTCCTCCTCCTCCTCCTCCTCACCTCCTCCTCCTCCTTCCTCCTCCTCCTCCTCCTCCTCCTCCTCCTCCTCCTCCCCCCCGCCCCCCCCCCCGGGGGCCACGCCGGGGCACCCGCAGGCGCCGAGGGAGTGCCCCCGAGACTCCCCGCAGCCAGGGCGCCGGAAACGCGCGCGGCTGCACCCGCATGCGGGGCACGATGAGGAGGCCCTGCGCGCTGAGGGATGCAAGGCAGGTGCATATGGCGCTGACGTCGGCGCTGGCTTCTGACACTACGTGGGTCGCTCAACCTCGAATCATGGCGTCGTTCTGGCAACCTCGACGCCCTCATTGACGGACTGGGGTCCCACCGGCCGTTGAAACCAATAATGTCATCTTCATCCCCTCCTCCTCCGCGAGACTGAGAAGAGGAGGAGCAGGAGGAGTACGAGGAGGAGGAGGAGGAGGAGGAGGAGGAGGAGGAGGAGGAGTACGTTCGGGCACTCGGGGCGCAACCTTGCATGCCCTTTGTGGAGGAAGATGGGCTGGGAGAGGGGAAGGCGGTTTGCCGCCGAGGCGGCTTGCCGCCAGGAGGAGGAGGAGGAGGAGGAGGAGGAGGAGGGGGAGGAGGAGGAGGAGGAGGAGGAGGAGGAGGAGGAGGAGGAGGAGGAGGAACCCCTCCGCAGGGCTGAAACGTGGACCAGCAGAGAGGCGTCGATCGACGGCCAGATGTACGGCAGCCAGGACAGACGGCGCAACCAACCTTGGTATTTAGGGGTGCACATGCGTGTGCCCCCCAAAAATCGAGGCGTTGCTGCCCTCAGGATTTTCTCCTGGGCGACGGCGAGGCGTACATCGTGCATTGCTGCGCGCAGGCTGGCGCCGCCAGCTACCTGCTGGTGGAGACCCTGGAATGGGCGCGCGCGCCATGCCCAGGCGCGTCCCTGTGGCGGCCGCGCGGCGACGTCGCCGTGATGCCCGCCGAGCTGATCCCGCCAG